TGGAAAAGCATTCATTGATTCATCACTGAAATTTCATAATGCGCAAACGAAAACTGAAAGCGGAAATTTTGCCGTTGTACAAAAAACAAATTGACGAAGTTTACAACAAAAGAGTTCACAGTTCAAAAAATCACTGCAGGTACTCGGTAAAGGAATGAGTGGGATGATCAGGGTAGCCGAAAGAATTGAAGATGGCAAGAAATGCGCATTAAAGGTGATCTTTTGAGAGAGCATTATTCATCTTGTAGGAAATAATCATTTTGTTTATTTTGTGCGTTTTTGTGCGTTCTTCACCTACGATTCGGTCATAGTGCGCTCATCTGAGTGCTACAGATTCGTGCAAAAGAGCCGCACAGTTGAAGTGAACGACATCAATGCCTTCATTGGCCGTTTTGACTGAGAAAAAGATCCAGCGAAAATATGCCAATCGAGAATTGGTGAAAGTACTATCATAATTCAGGTACCTTCAGGTACTTCCCGATACGGAAGCTTCACGACGTGAAATAGATTTACAAATCAAGTGTTCTCAGCATCGTAATATTGTTCGCATAATTGATGTTTACCTCAGTCAAAGTTTTCTACCGAAACGTCTGTTTGTTGTGCTTGAATACATGGAAGGTAAATTGAATTTCAGTAATTTAATAAAAATCAAATAATATTTCATCTTATTGACAACTCAAACGAATTGTGATGAGTACAGTTCGTTTTGAAGTCTAATTTGATGTCTGCGAACTAACACTTCAATGATTTTGAGAATTTACTCAACCAACCATGTATCGTTGATGCTATCAATGCAAGCCAATATTTATTCCTGTTCCTCGATAAAAATGCTTTTCGATGCCGAAACTGAATTAACAATTATTCTTGGCATCACTCATAGTTGTCAACATTTTAAGACACGGTTACTTCACGGCACGCTTTCATTTTTCACCAAAATCTTTCGAGAACCTTTCACTAGCAAAGTGTCGTTGTTAACAGGTGGTGCGTTGTTCAAACGAATCATCAACGAGAGTATAACCGAGCGAGAAGCAGCACGGATTATGCATGAAATTGGTTCAGCAGTGGCATATCTGCATTCACTGGAAATAGCGCATCGAGATATCAAACCTGAAAATATTTTATGCACGTATGTTGAATGTAATTTTGGTGAAAAATATCTCGATCTTCCACTTATTTTCGCCATTATATTACACTGTCAATAAAATTAGAGTTAGGAATGTGGTAATTGACGTTCGATTTGGTGTTTGAGGAGAGTGCGCAGGAATGGAAGTGTAACTATTCCAGAAATTCCAGAAACGATGGCACAGTGAAATTGGCGGATTTTGGTTTCGCGAAGCAATGTTCGAGTGAAAACAGAAAAACTCTGAAGACCCCGTGCTTCACACCTTATTATGTTCCACCTGAAGTATGTAATATTTATCAGCATTAATCAAAACTCGAGTCTTGCGTGATGATAAATCATGAGGAATCGGGCAGTTCAGTGGGATGGTGATTTTGCGAATTCAATTTAGAATCAGTTCTACATATAGATGTAGTGATCGCTGCATTCGATCATAAAGACACTGAGCTAGATGATACAGTAAAATCCAAACGACTGGAATTTCAGAAGAAATGCTCATCCGGTTGATGTTAGTAAAAGGGGATGAGAAATTGTGATGTGGGCTCTTTCCAATTGATTGCTTTTCATTTTGAATTTTGTTGTCATCGCTTGGTTACTTTTTCGTTTTTGAAGTTCGTTTCGATTATTGAGTGGTACTTATTGTTGGAACGATTATCCGTTGTTGAATGATTCCATGAAAATTGTCCACTTTTTAATGGCGTAATGAAGTTTTTTTTGCCGGACAAATAAGCGATGCAATTTGCAAACTTTGAAGGAAGATTTGGAAATAGCGATTAGTAAGCTAAGCATTAATTTTCACTACATAGTTTCCCGTGTCAGGAACGTAAATTGAAAGGAATTCGAAATTCTTTTCAATACTTGTAAGAAATAAACACTCTTCGATGTAATCTTGGGAGTTCTTCTTGAAAAAAATAAATCAGACCATAATCTAAGTGATAACTTACAATTAGCACGATCTTCAAAAATGTCACTGGAATGAAATGAATCGAATAAAACTGAATAAAAGTCGTGATAGCGATTCCTAATGTTGACAGTTTTACGAATGTTGAAATCAGTCCTACGTGCCAATGAAATATGGAATGAATGAATTAATGTTTAGATATTACGTCGTGTTCCTTACGACAAATCTTGTGACATGTGGTCGTTGGGTGTCGTTATGTACATGTTGTAGGTTTAAATTGAGTTTACTTTCGGTTGTTCTTTTATCATATTGACGTGTGATTCAACGAGGAAATAATTTATCTCATCCCTGTGCAGATCTCAAAACAAACTTCTCATGTAACACAAAAATCGAGATGGTTTCAGGTTATGCGGCTTGGCACCGTTCTACCCTCACAGTGATAGTAATTTCTCTAATGGTATGCAAAAGCGGATCAAGAAAGGTGTTTATAAATTTCCATCCCCCGAATGGGATCAAATTTCAGAACAAGGTGATAAATTGTTTGGTTCTTATAGCTTTGTGCTCAAGACCAATTCAAAAGAGTACGAAAATTGGTTTTTTGCTGCCAAATGATGGATGAAAATCAGTTTGTTCCGGACACCATAGAGATATTAAGAAATTATATTCAGTTTCGTATATGTGTAACAATTTGGTAATATTTGTTGATTTAACGTGGCAGCATGCTTTCGTAATTTATTCATAACGCTAATTTTGATCAGGATATCGAG